CTTATGATGCCGAGATGTATCCCAGGCTGCAATGGGAGGCAAGGATGGAGATTGCTGGGGTTGGTAGAGATTTTTAATACTTTGCAGGCCACAGGTGAAGTGGCAGATGACTGGAGGATTAGTAATGTGGTTCCTTTGTCCAAGAAGGGCAGCAAGGAAAGGCCAAGTAATTACAGACCAGTTAGTCTGACATCAGTGGTAAGGAAATTGTTGGAAAGAATTCTGAAGAACAGGATTAATCAACACTTGGAAAGGCAAGGATTGATCAGTGATAGCATGGATTTGTCAGAGGGAGATCCTTTCTGACTAATTTAATTGAGATATTTGAAAAGGTGACTCAATATATTGATACGGGTTGTGCACTTGATATGATTTGCATGGATTTCAGAACGGACTTTGACAAGGTCCAACAAGGAAGGCTGGTCCAAAAGTTAAGATTTCATGGGATCCAAGGCAAGTTGACAAACTGGCTCCAAAATTGGCTTGCAAATAGGAGGCAAAGAGTGATTGTGAAGAATTGTTATGTGATTGGAAGCCTGTGACCAGCTGTTTGTTATGTATACTAATGAGCTGGTTGTCAGTGTAGAAGGTACAGTTAGTAAGTTTGCAAATGACGCAAGAAGTTTTGGTGTTGCTGGCAGTGAAGAGGATAGTCTTAGGCTACAGTCTGATATTGAACAGCTGTTAAGTTGGGCAGAGCAATGGCAGATGGAATTTAATCCTGATAAGTGAGAGGTGATGCATTTTGGGAGGCCAAATAAGGAAAGGATATACACAATTAATGGAAGGTCTCCAGGGAGTATTGAGGAACAAGGGAACCTTGGTGTACAAGTCCACAGATCCTTGAAGGTCAAGTATACAGGGTGGTGAAGATGGCGTACAAGATGTTTGCTTCCAAAAGCTGAGGCACAGAAAATGGGAGCAACAATGTCTTGTCACAACGTTCTAAAACATTGGTTAGTCCACAGATGGAATACTGTCGACAGTCCTGGTCGCCACACTATTGGAAGAGCACGACTGCACTGGAGAGGACATAGAAGAGATTCACCAGGATGTTGCCTGTGATGAAACGTCTCAGTTATGAAGAAAGACTAGTTAGGCTCGATGTGTTTTCCTTGGGGCAGAGGCTGAAGGGGGATCTGATTGAGGTATATAAAATTATGAGACATACAGCAGCTTGTGAGAATCTTTTCCCCAATACAGGCATATCGAAGTCCAGAGAGCAGACATTTAAGATGAAGATGAGTGGTTTACGGAGATCCGAGAACGTTTTTTGACCAGAGAGGGTGGTGCAGACAGGTTTTCTTGGAATTTTTAAGAAACATCTGGATGAATACTTAAAATGCCAGGACATAGAACATAGAACATAGAACAGTACAGCACAGTACAGGCCCTTCGGCCCATGATGTTGTGCCGAACTTTTACCCTAATCCTAAGGTCTATCTAACCTCCACCCCTATGTTATACTTTCATCCATATGCCTATCTAATAGCCGCTTAAATGCCCCTAATGAGGCCGACTCCACTACCCTCTCCGGCAATGCATTCCACGCCCCTACCACTCTGAGTAAAGAACCGACGTCTGACGTCTTCCCTGTATCTACCTCCACTCACTTTAAAACTATGTCCCCTCGTAATAGCTACCTCCACCCTAGGAAAAAGTCTCTGGCTGTCTACACTATCTATGCCTCTGATCATTTTGTACACCTCTATCAAGTCACCCCTCATCCTTCATTGTTCTAAAGAGAAAAGCCCTGGCTCTCTCAAACTTTCCTCGTAAGACATTCCCTCCATTCCAGGCAACATCCTGGTAAATCTCCTCTGCACCTTTTCCAACGCCTCCACATCTTTCCTGTAATGAGGTGACCAGAACTGGACACAATACTCCAGATGTGGCCGAACCAGGCTTTTGTATAGCTGGAGCATAACTTCACAGCTCTTGAACTCGATCCCTCTATTAATGAAAGCTAACACACCATACGCCTTCTTAACAACTCTATCCACCTGGGTTGCAGCTTTCAGCGAACTGTGAACATGAACCCCATGAACCCTCTGCTCCTCCACACTGCCAAGAATCTTTCCGTTAATCCTGTATTCTGCTTTCAAGTTTGTCCTTGCAAAATGAATCACCTCATACTCTTTCATGGTTAAACTCCATCTGCCACTTCTCAGCCCAGCTCTGCATCCTATCAATGTCCCTTTGTAACCGAGAACAGCCCTCCGCACTGTCCACAACACGACCCACCTTCATATCGTCCACGAACTTGCTAATCCACCCTTCCACTCCTTCATCCAAATCATTTACAAAAATCACAAATAGAAGAGGACCCAGAACAGATCCTTGTGGTACACCACTCGTAACTGAGCACCATGTTGAATATTTTCTGTCCACTACCACCCTTTGTCTTCTAAGGGTCAGCCAATTCTGAATCCAATCTGCCACATTTCCCCCTATCCCATGCCTCCTTACCTTCTGCATGAGCCTACCATGGGGAACCTTATCAAACACCTTACTTAAATCCATGTATACCACATCCACTGCTCTACCTTCATCCACGTGTTTGGTCACCTCTTCAAAGAATTCAGTAAGTTTGTGAGGCATGATCTATCCCTCACAAATCCATGCTGACTATCACGAATAAAACTGTGCCTTTCCAATTGATCATCAATCCTATCTCTTAGAGCCCTTTCCAATAATTTGCCCACCACTGAGGTAAGACTAACTGGCCTGTAATTTCCGGGGATATCCCTATTCCCTTTTTTGAACAAGGGAATGACGTTTGCCTCTCTTCAATCTTCCGGCACTATACCCGTGGACAGTGAGGACGAGAAGATCGTCGCCAAAGACCCTGCGATCTCTTCCCTCGCTTCCCATAGAATCCTTGGATAAATCCCATCAGGCCTGGGGGACTTATCTATCTTCAACTTCCCCAAAATTTTTAGCACATCTTCCTTACTAACATTGACCTTCTCTAGCCTACCAGCCCGTTTCACACTGTCCTCCCCTACAATTAGGTCCCTCTCAGTTGTGAATACCGAAGAAAAGTATTCATTAAGGACCTCTCGTATCTCTTTAGGCTCCGTGCACAAATTCCCTTTACAAT